GCAGTCAACCCCCCCTGACTAGGGAAAGGTGAAAATGGGGGTGGGGAGCTGGCTGATCCTGGGACACCTCCCGACCCACCCCTTCCGTAATCGGCTCTGCCTGGCCCTGCTGACCTCCCCCTCCCCCCGCGGCCGAGTCTTGGCACCTGGGTTTGTGTGGGTGGGGACGGGAATCCAATCTCCCTTCCCCTCCATCTGGCCAGGAGGACAAAGGGCAGGGGGACCATCTGGTCCCGCCAGAGACGGGGAGGGCCCACCGTGGCGGTCCCAGGGGCGGGGGGAGGGGCGGTGCTCCGGAGACAGCGAGAGCCTGCGGGGTCTAGTTGCATCTCTTTATTTCTCCAGCTCTTCGTTTCACCGGCCTGCACCCCGCCCCTCAAACCACGGAGCCGGAAACCCGCATGGCTTCTGGGGTCGGGGCGGGTACCGCGAAGGGAGGGCCTCTTGTGAGGACTAATTTTGGGCTGGTCACCCCCCAAGCCTGGCAGCGGGTCTCCAAGGCTCCTGCACAGTGCTTGTGTGCAGGCCTGTGTGCCTATGTGGACGTCTGCAAGCATGAACCGCGGGCAAGTGTGTACCGGTACCCTAACTGTGGAGTTTGGGGGGCTGGCCTGCGGGGTAGTGGGAGGAGCCTGCGGGTGGAGGCTGGCCAGAGCAGAGGATGGCGGGAAAGCTTTAGGATCAGCTCATCTAATTGATTACCCTCCACCAGACTACGTGATTCCCTGGATTTCTGAGCTCATCTCTCTGCATCTCCTCCTCAGAATGTCACTGCAAGAGAAACACACACAGACCCCAACAGAGAAGAACCCACACAAATGGACCGACACAAACACACACACACACCTGTTGACACGGGCATGAGTCAGGGGGTCATGGAGGAGAGAGAGAGACCCCAGGGCAGGTGGTCCGCCCTTATAAGCCGGCCTGGGCCTCATGCCAGGCCCTGCAGGAAGTCCAGGAGGCCGGAGTGCCACTCCTCAGGCTTGTCCAGGTAGCAGGGGTGCCCCGCACCCGCCATGACAAGCACCCGGTGGTTGGGAAGCTGTTTCAGGTGCTGGAAGCTAGTGTGGCCCATGGGGTCCTGGTCTCCATAGACAATCAGAGCCGGGGTCTGAAAAAAAGGGAGACGCATCAACGTCAACAGGGGTTTTCGCCATCAGCCCCCCTCTCAAGGAGGTCTGCTCCAGCCCCCCCCTGCCCCCTTGAGTCTCCCCCATGGTCACCCCAACCCCCAAATGATGACAGACAAGTTAGCCCAGTGGGGGGCAACTGCCAAGGGACAAGGTGGTGGATCTGTGTCGTCCAAGGCACAGCGCATGGGACTGGCTGCTAACTGAACCCAAAGGGTAGACTTTGGGGGTCCAGTTCCTTCCAGAGCACCCCCTCCTTGGTTAGCCAGCCCTCAGCCCAGGAAAGGTTCCCAGGAGGGACCCTCCCCTGCTCCTGGCAAGGGTGTCTCTGCCTCCCAAACAGGTACCTTCACACGGGCATAGTCAGCAGCTTGGATTTTGTCCGTGCAGATGGGGGCCACAGGCACATAGCCCCGGAGCTGGGAGACGGGGGCTGTGAGGAAGGGCAGGGAGTACATGCCACTCAGCGAGGGGCTGATCACAACTGGGGGGCCCAGCTGCAGGGCATCCACCACGGCCACCAGGAAGCTGTCAGGGGCGAGCTCCCCGATAGGAGCAGGGGCAGCTGCTTCTTTGGAGTGCCCCAGGCCTGGAGGGGTGGGTGGGGTGGAGAGAGACAAGGGCAGTGAGCCACAAACAGTGGGAACAGGGGAGAAGGTCCCCTTGTCCCTAAGGCCCTCCTTGGTGAATCCCTCCAGGGCAGGATCCTGCCAGGCTCAGAACCACTAAGTGTGCTCCTCTGTGACCCAGATCTGTCCTGTCTGTGATGCCTGTAAAGCAGTCCCTGCACGTCTGGGCCCCGCCTCCCGAGCAGGACAGTGTTCTGGGAAGAACCAGGTGCTGCAATCAGAAAGGACTGGGTCCAAATTCAATTCTCCGTTTCCTCTGTGACCTTCAGATCCGATCTCTCCCTCGCTCGCTCACTTCCTCCCTCAGTGTCCCCCTCTGTCCAAAGGCCTGCCATTTAAGATCGGGGTGGAAATTAAGCAAGTGGTGGTGACAGGGGCTAGGTGTTAGGCTGCTAATGCAAGGTTGGCAGTTCGGGCCCACCAGCCGCCCTGCAGGAGACCATCTGCTCTCAGGGCGTTAGTCTTGGAAACCCTACAGGGCTCCTCTGATTCTGAAGGGACCTGATCGCACTTTGGGTGGTTTGGGGAAGCGGGAGTTAGTGCTGGATTGGCTTGGGCAGAGGAGCTGACTGTGCACCCACACCTCCCTCTCCAGTCATTCAGTACCACCTTTCCCAGTGGGATTAGCTCAAGACCTTCACCCCGAGGTTCAGTCCAGCCCTCCGTGTGGGCCAATCAGTCCTGGCTGGAAACCTGCCATTGGGCCCAGAGGCGATGAGATCAACTAGGAGCCCATTCTACACATAGCCCCATGGGCTAGGGCCTGACTGGGACCCTCAGTCTGGGGGCTGCCCCTGTCTTCCCAGAGCTCAGGGCTTTTGTGAGAGGAATCGTGGCCACACAGCAGGTCCTGCCCTGCCCCCAAAGAGGCTGGGAGATTTGGTCAAGATCCACAGGGCTTCCAACATTCCATGATTAGGACTCTTGTCAAAATATTTCACTTCCACCTGCTAAAGCAAAGATGGTGGTGAATCAGGTGCATGGCCACATTCTCACGGGGTGATCTCATTCCAGGCTCACTAGGGCCAAGCCTGTAAATGATTACAGCTGAGCCGACGTTCAGGGACACTGAGCCACCAGACACAGGCCTGGTGTCACGCGGGGACGGCAAAGCAGTGTCCCAGCAACGCTGGACCAACGCTGCAGGGGTCCAAGAGCTCTTGTGAGGCCTTTTGCCTGGGAGTGTCCCTGAAAGCAAGAGGGGTCGCCAGCAGGTTCAGTGGGGTCGCTTTTACCAGGGCCACTTGCTCAAACCTGCAGGTGATCGGGAACCACGCGTGCCCTGCATGCCTGTCAGTTAGCCAAGAGCATCGGCGTCAACCAGCTGCAGTGAGCAATCTCTGCCGGATGACCTAAATCGTCGACCCAACCCCAGAAGCCAGGCAAACTAGTTATAGATAAAAATCAAAATTGCAAATATGATGGGGGGGAAAAAGCCACAGTCTGCCAAGGGCCCAGCCCACCCCGACGGGGTCTTCCCAGTCAAGCTCCTGGCCATCACACACAGTGATCTGGACCCCAGATGAGGCCCCCCCAACCCCTGTCCGGAATCCCACTCAAGAAAGTACCTGGCAGGTCAATGGCCACCGCGCGGTAGCCAGCCTGGGCCAGCTTGTCCAGTGTGCCCAGGTTCTGCCAGGTCTCCGAGGAGAAGCGGATGCCGTGCAGCAGGAGCACAGAGAAGTGGGGGGCCCGCCCGCCCCCGGGTTGCACCTCCCTGAAGAAGAGGCTTTGGCCCTGCACCTGGATCCTGCCTTCTCGTCGCTGCACGTCCTCCGCCATGCCTGCCGCCGTCTGCTGGTGACCGTGCCTGCGGTGGTTCAAGGCCAGGCTGGTGAGGGGCGGGCTCGACACAGGGCCACAAACGTCCCACTGGGCGGAGTGGGGTGGCCGCTCCTGAGAGGGCAGGGCGTGAATCCCAGCAGGAAGCAATAAGTAAGGTGGCTTCTGGGAGATGTCCCAGCACGCTGGGCTTTGGGATCAGTAAATACGATGTCGGTGCTACTCCAGCCTCAGCTGCGCAGTTGTGAACACCTGGCCTCCGTTTCCTTATTCAATATTTGGGGACAACAAAGCTTACCTAGAAGATTAACGAGTGAGGGTGCCTGCCGCTACAGGAACTCAATACGTGGGGCTCCTATTACCCTCTTCTGCAAATCGGCATAATACAAGCGGGCGTAGCCCGAAGGGCGGACAGGATCAAAGGAGGCCACGCATTGAAACCCTAGGCACCCGTATGTATAGCCCCTTAAAACTCAAATCGAGTGCATTCCGGCTCTCAGCGACCCTAGAGGCACCCGGGCCTAGCAGGCACGTAGTAAATGCTCGTTCCACTGCAGGGAACGGACTAGTTACTGGTCAACCTCATCCCCCACGGCACCT